AAAATTTTGCGGCCGGAGCTGGTCGTAACCCAAAAAGTTCGTTAACAGAAGCGTTCATAACTCGAGGTTCCACTGTACCACTAACAGTATTCTATCAATAATTGTACAGTGAAAAATCATTTTACTGGACTGCAATGCAATGGATTTTGTGCAATGGTCCAAATTTCCACTGTGATTTAGTTACTTGTGCAAATGACATAATATTTGCAGTTAGCCTCTTAAAATGAGATTTCACTGTATTTAGATTTGGATCTAAATCCATGAAGATAAGATGTTGTGTTACTAAATTTTGCTTTTTTCTCCTAGTCTTCAATATATGTGGAAAAAATTTAAAAGCTAGTGCTATACAATTTTGAAGGTACTAATTTTAAATATCTAAAACAAGAATCATTGCTATAAAATTAGACTATGTTTACAGAATCATTTACTTCATATATAAATATATATAAAAGAGCCTACATAAATTATTCTTAAAGACTGAGGCACATAGATGTTATTAACTGTGACAGATTTTCTCACTAATTAAGAAATATACCACTATCTAATGTTATCTGATATACAATTTTTAAAAGCTTTAGTCTCAGAATACTTGATGTCTGTACAGCTCGAACATAAAAAGGAGAGTAGTCCTCCATTTGTGAAAGTACTCCCTCCAAAAATATTTACAGTATCTCCTATACAACTCATAAACAGGTAAAGTAGATAGTGGGAACAAAGAATGGTTCAGAATATGTTCAAACATAACATTTGCTCATACAATCTGTGGATATAATGTATTATTTATAGTAGCAGCTCTACCATATAGAATCAGAAGTACAGAAATATTATTCAAAATGTAATACACATTTTTAAAAGTATTACTTTTTACTTAAATGCTATCAATATAGATACTATAAATACTTCGTGTGTAATAAGCTCTTCTTTTAAGAATACATTAATATGCTATTACTGACAAATGCTATCTTCAACGTTTTTGAGGAACATATTTTCTGCAGTCACTATACCGCATAGTGAATAATACATAAAACTAAATTTTGTAGTAAATGAAATGAAATTAACTTAGTATAAAGATAATAAAGTTCTGCTATCAGTTCTATTTGAAGCATCTATTTTATTCACTAAAAGGTTTTTAAAAAAATCTTTACCTACCTTCACACTATATTTCTTTCCAACTAATTCTAGCACATTGTTAACTTAAATAAATTGCATATTTTTTTTCAACAATAGGGTATTTTGATTTTTCAAAATCTCTTTTAGAAAATATTTTAAAGGCAGAGTTTGAAAAACAACAATACACCACCAAACAGGTAGTGAAAACTTAGTTTTATTTCTGACCTCTGAGATCTAGGAATCATTCTACACTATTTTCCATGTAAAATGTATTTGTTATCAAATGCCTATATGACTGGCAAATTACATAACATTTTTGGTCATGTTTGGAAAACAAAAGAGAGCAAACAAAACAGATCAAACCAATAGTTTAAAAGATTGACTAGAATTCATTAATATAAAAATACTGCATATATTTTAGGCTGTATAATAGGGATATATCAATACAATTTTCAAAACCATTTGAAGTTTGATAACATAACAAAAGTCTTTTGTATGTTATGGAACAGAAAATGTTATGATGAATTGCAAAAATGATTTATAGAGCCTACCCACCCACACTATAGTTTCTTTTATTAGAATAATGAAAAACTATTTGCTTTAACACACTAAAATGGTTCAAAGGGAGTATATTAACTGTGAATTCCATTTTACAAGAAAATATTTCAACCATGTATGTCAAAAACAAATAAGTACAATAACTTGTTCAAAAAATTAAGAAAAAAACAGTTACCCAAATTTCATTGATAAAAGTTTAATGTAGAGTTGCTTATAAAAATGGAAAAAATATTACACCATACAACTGAGCATCCTGGCTCTGACTATTAACTACAGGGATGGTCATGTCAAAAACAAAATCTAAGTTCAGAGATATTTGCTTAAAAGGAAACAAACGAAAACATCTCTACAAGAAGTTGGATGCTTTACCTAGTTCTTAAACCTAATTATAAAATTATCTTTTTTACTGGTCCAACAATTTCTTCTTCTAGCAGAACTGTAAAAAGAAAATAAATATTTATGAGATAGGCACATATAGCTAGGTTCACTCCATTTGTTTTCAATGATGAAAATGCAGATATTTTACTTCTTGCATATGTCCTGAGCATTCTATTTTAATATCAGGACTTATATCAGAATTCACCTCAGTTTTGAGCATTTAATTCAAAAGCTTACAGGGTGGGTTAAGTCTACTTTTCCTGGATTGCAGATATCAGTTTTGCATTCAATTTCATATACAGAATCCTCTTTGAAAAACATAGATCCCAGAATGGCAACTATGAAAAAATTGCCTCTTTGTATATTTACTGTAGTTTGTTTTAATGCTAACTGTTATAGCAATCTGTTAAAATAAACATTATATTGCTGTACTGCCTAAATTCAAATGTGCTACCTTTTGCAGTAACACCCTCTATTTTTTTTTTTTTTTAAATCAGCTCCTCATGGAGTAAGATGCAAACCAGCAATCCAGTTAAGCATACTTTTTCCAACAGAGGTCTGTTAAAGCTTCTGGCAAAACCAACAGATATACTGTATAAAGTTTTAGAAAACTTGCCGCTTTTGTTTTCCTCTTTCCCATTATCATTTATGCAACATTTGACAACATCTGACCGTAAAATTATAATATTTGCGTGCCAAACTTATTTCTCTTTTAATATTTAGGCTGCTTCACTTTCATTATTCTAGTTAAGTATATACAGAATAATGAAGCAAACTCTTTTTCTCGTCTGTCTATCTATCATATTTATATAGCCACCCATCTCACACAAGGTGACTCTGGGCAGTGTAACAAAAGCTTTAACATTCAAAAAGGACCAATACTACACAAAATACAAACAAGGCTAGTTATTTTTACCTTCCATCTGTTTCCACATTCATTGCACACAACAAATGTTGTCATAGGTTCATCAGCACTTCTGGTCTGAACCTACCAAAAAAAACCCCCCAAACAAACAGAAAATAGCAATGTAATCTGGCTAAAGTTATATAATTTGCTCATTCTATTCTACTGTAACAGCACAATCTGATTTATTGATTAAAAAATTTAAACCACCCAACAGCCAAAGTTCTCTAGTCGGTTTACAATAAAGCATGCTAATTTGAATAAAAACATATATAATAAAATCAAGTTAAATGCAAAATGAAAACACCATACAAACAAGTCAGCTACAAGGTAGACATTCAAAATCTAAAACAATATGAAATAAAATACAATTAAAAGTCAATTTAAAGGCCTGGGAAAATAGAAAGGTCAAAATGATACTAATGTGGCTATCAGGCAAGCCTCACAGAGAGGGAATTCTATAACTGGGTGCCATCTCAGAAAAAGCTCTCTCCCTTGTAGAGCCCCACCTTACCTCCTTCGGTGGGGGACCTGGAGAAAGGCCTTACTGGAAGATTTTAAGGTTTGGGTAGGTCCATACAGGAGAAAATGCTCCTTCAGGTAACCTGATCCTAATCTGTTTAGGGTTTTTTAATGATCAAAACCAGCACTTTGAATTGTTTACTCAGATATGGAAGCCCATTTTGCTTAATCAAGATTAGTCTCTTGGTTGCTTAGTACAGCACGTTAAAACTAATTTTTAATTCAATATTAAAACTTCAGTGACTTCCAAAATAATAATGAGCTCATAATTTTCATATGAAATATGAAGTGAACCCACAATCCTTCTCTTTAACAGTTAAGATTCTCTCTTGTATGCCTCTGTGCCATTTGCCATAATCTTTCCTGGTGGCCTTAAGAACGAACCATGTATGATGAACTTTTAACTCCAATGTCCTCTAGCCAGCATAGCCAGTGGTAAGGGAAGAGAGTTTGAAATCTGGCAACATCAAGAAGATTACATTTTGCCCATCATTACTCTCAAAAACAGTTTTCCCATATCCTATTAAATTATGAGTGTCTGGGGAAAACATATCCTATTGGCATTTGCCTTCTTATATTGGGAATAAAGGGTTAAGTGGAGAGTTGAGATTTAGTGCTAAGTCTGATGTGAAGATGGAAAAGCTAAACATCAAAGAACATGCAGCATTTTGAGAGAAGATCAATTATAAACCACTGTAATCTTCTAATTATACTTGGAAAATATATCAGTATCCCAAAATCAGCAAACAAAAATTGTGGGCTTTTTTGCAGAAAGGTCTAAAAAATGTTGCTGGTTTATTACAGCTTATCCAGGTCCAACATTTCAAATATCTGGGGATTATTTTCAAAAGTTCAAAGAGTTATGAAGTCCCACAGACATGCATGGAGTTACACTAATGGAAAGTATGAAAAGAGATACTGGTGGAATGATTAAGTGATTTGTATGTTACTGACTCCAAAAGCAAATACTATGATGCGTATGTAGAAACGTATAAATCACAAAGCAGAACATCTACAAAGCACATATTTTAGAACTGTTAAAGTAGTTGAATCTCTTTCCTGCCTTGTGTGGTTCTCTTATAAGATGCTCACAACTGTGTTAATGTGTGTGTGTATGTGTGTGCATGTGTATGTGTGTGTATACACACACACACACACAAAGCTACTCTGGTTTGCATTTTTTCCTTCACATTTTGAAGCAACCCTTTTGAAAGATCTACACAACCCTATCACAAGTAGCTGTCTTTACATAATGTAAATAATAAATATAATGCTCAATTTAGTCATGAACAAACAAACAAACAAAAAATGTCTTTCTCCCTTAACTTAAACCAATTTATCATGCCATGAATGTTGTTTTGCCATTTATGGATTTGGTCTAGATAAATACATAAAGTAGGTTGCCCATTTTCCTTTCCTGTAGTTCTTTATACCTCATACAGAGAATCCATCAATATTCAAACAGCTTTTGAGAGAATGGAAGTGAGGTAACAGTTACAAATCCCTGATTTATGGCACTGAATCCTACTGAGAACTGAAGATACTCTCATCTACCTTAACAATACAATTCACATCCCATTTTAATATGAATGGCAATTCACAAAGCAAGAAGGCAGTTCCATGTAACCATAGTAACCATGGGACCTGAATAAAACAAGTGATCCAATATAATGTAAAGCAAAACAAAACAAAATAAAACTCCAGATTACAGAAACTGATGCTCTATTTCTACATAGTAGCTATTGAATATTAACTACCTCAGCTATTCAACTATTTTATAAGATGTTATAATGTAACAAAGAAAGGTTGTTTATCAAGAACTATAGTTTGCCTAGTGTAATTTCTCAACAAACTACATCAATGGGATCATTGGTACAATATTGAAGACATTACATGAAAGATACTGACATCAGTTGGCAAAGCATGGATTCTTCCTAAACTGACGTTGTCATTATTACCAAGATAACATTATACTTTTGAGTAAATTTTTATGTTTTGAAATTATCATCCTTGTACTTTTTTTCCCCTTTTTTTTGCACAGGGGCGGGGGGGGGGCTTATCCCTGTATGTTAAGATGGATGAGAACTCAACTTTAAGTCCTATCCAGGCATAGGGATCTGTAGGTCATCAAGAAGCACTGGTTCTTTTGATCCAATACCTATCCTGGTGCAAAACCAATAATCATATTGACAATTGGAGAGAAGGCAGATATGAGCAGGCAAAGATTAGACTCAATAATTATTAAATAATCCCTGAAACTTGCAATAAAGATGAAAAAATATTGCCATTTAATTGGCATTTGTTCAGTCTCTCCCTTGAGCTATGCAGGGTCATAGGGTTTACTTGTAGTTCTTTTAAGCTATATGTTTTTCCAGACTTTTATATGTACGTTTAAATTATTTTGAGTATAAACATGCATCTCCTAAAATATTCAGAAGGAACTCGAGTGCTAGTTTTAAAATTCAAATATTACTATTGTATGACAAACCATTAGGAAACTCTGACAGCAATTGAACAAAATTAAAAATAATGAATGCTGCTTGAATATAACTGACATACCTGGGTGTAAGTACAGTTCTTCTTTTTACATTTACCACAGGTAAATAGGTCAGTCTGTGTTCCTCCTGTTTTAGCCATCTGGTGCTCTCTTATAGCTTCTTTGGTAAGGTTCTTCCTCATTTCTTTCAGTTCATCACTTGCCATCTCCTACAGTGAGCAAATAAAGATCATATTAGCTTCGCAATTTTGCTTGTATTTACAACATTCATATATAAATTTTATTTACTAGGCAGCATTTATTTACCTTTTATTCTGTGAAAGCCAAAATGTTAATAACAGTGATGAAGTATGAACTTAGCTTTATTGACTAATTTTACATTATTCTATGTATTGGATAATCAGTTTTCTTTTGGAGGCTTATAAAATGACTATTCTTTTTACTGAAAACCCAATTTGAGGATTGGAAACATGATACTTGTACTTCAGTCTTTAAATGCTATCAAAAGATAACACTGAGTGGCTGTTGTTTGAAAACATAACAAAGAGGCCAGGTGTTTTAGATAATGGTTGGTTTGGTTATTATACAGAACTTTTAAATATGGATTTATTCTCCCTAGCTGCTTTCAGGGAAAAATCTATTCTTGAAATGGCTGAAGTGACCAGATTCAACATAAAGAAACTGAATATATATACAGGTAGTCCTTGGATTACGATGGGGCAATGGGGACCAGAATTTCGGTTGCTAAGCAATGCAGTTGTATTCAATTCAATTCAATTCAATTCAATTCAATTCAATTCAATTCAATTCAATGAATGCAGTTGTAAAGTGCGACATCATGTGACCACATTGCTTAGCAATGGCAATTCTGGCAGTTCCATTTGCCATTGTAACCTCAGAACCACACAGGTAGTTAAGTGGGAAGAGGCAGGAGTCCCAGGCAAGCAGGCAGACAGGTGAGAGCTGCAGGTAAGAGCTACAGGTAGGGGTTGCCACGGGTGGGCACTAGGGAGTATGGGCGAGCACTAGGGAGCACAGGCGGGAGAGTATTGAGGGTGAGCACTAGAGGGTGCGGGTGGGTAGTGGGTGTCACAGGCAAGTGCTAGGGAGAGCAGGTGGGTGCCAGGAGTGGGGGGGTGAGGGGTCTCGCGGTGGGGGCAGTCGTAAATGCAGGCTGGCCTGAATTTTAATCATGTGACTATGGGGATGTTACAACAGCCAGAACTTCAAGGATCAGTTGTAAGTCCATTTGCCGTCGTAACTTTGAATGATCACTGAACGAATGGATATAACCTGAGGACTACCTGTACATTTTTTTAATCAACTAAACTGTGGATTCCGATGCATGTCTGCTCAGCGTTACGCCCCATTTAGTTCAGTGAGCCATATTTTTCTGTTAATGTTAATAGCATTGCTGGCCAAGAGATTTTTCTGTTGTTTTTTCATAAGTCCTATGTTGACCTAATCATTTATTTATACAACCAGTTTCCACAATGGTGGTGTATAAATAAAATCAAAACACAGTACAATAAATCAACAGTCTATAAAATCACTTCAATTGTACATTTAAAACTAATGTAGATTAAATAATATTTTACTGCATTTTTAATGAAAAAACGCCTAATCAGTGAAAATTAAGGATACCAGAAAATACATTTATTAGAAAGAAATGAACCCAAATTGTCAAGGATTCAAATATTCTCTCCCTCTCTCTCTCTCTCTCTCTCTCTCTCTCTTCTCACACACACACACACACACACACACACACACTGGGAAGGCAGGAATCTACCACTCTTCTTCACTGACCTATCATATACTGCTACAAATATCTGCTACAAATATCTACAAATAACATATAATTATGTTATTTCTTCTAGATCTATCATATTGGTAGAAATCACTAATTGGCAATCAGTAGAGCATGCCTATAAAACAGAGGATATTTACACAGGATAATATTTTTAATGCCTTTTAATGTAACCTGTCCAAAATGTGAAGAGGAAACACTTCCTTACTGTCCAAAATATTTAACAAAATCTTTAATTTCTTAGTCAGCTTAGACTCTGAAGTCATATAAAGTCTTATCTCATTTTAATATTCCGGCATTCTAACAATATTTAAAGACACATGTTTTTTCTTTATTGTTTGTATATTTCTGGGCTTGGATGCTAAGTGGTATGAGCCTTGCAACTACTTAAATTAAGAATACATATCCAGGATGTACAATTTAGGTAACCAAGTTGGTGGCATCAAAGATTTAAAGTTTTTGATGCCTCTTTGCTGCCATCTTCTGATTGCCTGAATGTTTTCTACCACTGATATGATAGCCCTTACTTGGACTGAAGGACCCTAGGGAATATCTGGGTTGTAAGCTACAGTGAAAAGTCAAGAAAACAGGATGAAAGAAGGCAATGGCAAAGGACTCTGCATTATTGCTGAGAAAACAATATAGTCACATCCTGGAATTTGAGCTCAAGCTGAAGGATTACTTTAAGACATTATGCCCAGTTAGACAGTGATCTTTCTAGCACAGTACCATCCACACTGACTGAGAGTAGGTCTTCAGAACTTCAGGTAGAAGCTTCTCCAAGTCATATCAGGAGATGCCAGGAACTGAACCAAAGACTGCATGCAAAGCATATGTTCTTTCATCCATCTTTGCTATTCTATGGAGACTTCACAGCAATAAATTATAGCCTTCTACATAGCTAAAAACATATGCACATACTTTCAGAATATTTTTTTTCCAAAATACAAATCATACTCTATTTCTCTTTTGGAAGAATGAAAAGCCATGGACTTTTGCTTAAACAAATCAAAAATGCAGGAAGACCCTGGCACTATTTTCTACTGAGATATGTAATTGCTGTTTTAGAGTGTCAACATTTTTTTTTCAAAATCTCTAGCTTTTAGTAATGTGAATTCATACTCAAATCTTAGCTTAAGAAAATAAAAATTGTAATAGGAATGTTAATTACCTCTGCTGTCATTTTAGCAAATCTATCAGGAGGTATATTTCCACATAAAACATTTTTCCTTAAATTAGGATTTTTTGTATCTTTAAGATTTGCTATCCTGCTGCGCACTCTATTTTTATATTTCATGTCAGTATTTTTTAGCTCCTGAAATATAGGTGTTCATGATTAAGGAAATAACACGATGAAGAATGCAGAATTGATTTAGTTTACAAATATCTGACCAAATTATTTTATATTTATCTGTTGTTTTTTTTAATTGACAAGAGCATATCTTAAAGAGCAAATCTTAATTGATGCGACTGAGCATATAAATTTAATAACACTTGATAACAAGAAATGTATATATACAACAGGAAAGTTTTCAACAAATATCATAGATATTAGCCAAAGTCTATCAAGTTTGGTCTTGCTTGCATGAATTAAATATGCACAAAAGTAACATGACACTTTGATTTTGGCCCCATGTTGTTTTTAATAGTATGGTATTTTAATAATATTTTAATAATCTCAGCTATCTTAAAGGCATGTATATACTTTGTCTTATTTGTTATTAATAAAATCCCATTAATATATACAATATTTTAACATAAAAGAAAATAGATCCTCTTTTTACTTTACAATTTGTTTAAAATATTACCTGATCTAAAGTGCATTTTTGTATTTATGCAGTTTATTAAAAAATGTAAGTATATGAATGAACACAATACAGACTGATGTAAACAACTACAGGCACCCACAGAAAATTAAAAAACAAAGTATTTTAAAAGAAGTTAAGAATTAAACTATAGAATAAGGTAGAATTTTCATTATATAAGAAAGGATATCTTCTTCAATCTGAGAACCTAGTTCTTCCTCATCAGCACCAATAGCAATATAATCATCTGAAAAATATATGAGTTCGGAATCAGGATTTTTGCAATGTGATTGCATACATATATTCAGAAGCAAATAAAATTGTGTTCAGTAAAATGTGTTCCTAAGTAAATTATACAGTAGTATAACTTTACAATGCATTCTATCCACATCTATAGAGTAACATAAAAAGAACAAATTACAAAAAATTAACCCAAGCAAGTACAAAAATAACTATAAAATAATCACAAGATGGAAATCCAAACAACAATCCAAACATAAAATATCACAAACAGGGGAGTTCCATCCACCCTACCCCAAGGCTTGGATAAATAGCCAGATTTTCAAGGCCTTCTGAATATCATCAGGGTGGGAACCATATGGAGCTCAGGGGTGACCTCATTCCAGAAAGCAGGCATCCCTACAAAGAAGGTGAACTTCCTAGGTCTTGAAAAGGGACCTTAATTGAGGTGACCCAGAGCATACCCACTGTTCAAAATTGTATCAGCTTGGCCCCCTATACCATATATGGGGTTTTATAGGTAATAACCAGCATCTTGAATATTCCATCTGGACCCTTAATTTGTCAAACTCTAGACTACTTTAAAGTCAGTTCTTTCAGTCCCTTCTCCTTAAAGGGAGTCAGAAATTATTAACTTTCTAACACTTTTCACAGTGAAGACATCCTTCTGATGTTAAGTGGTCCTAGACAGTGAATTTTCTACTGATTTTTTGTGTAACATGCAACTATTAAACCAGCAAAAGACTTTCTACTGATGCAAGACACCTTCTGATGGAATATCAAATGTGTATCCAATCCAGTTACTGTAACTTCAGAATTGCAATAATTATTGGTTCAGAGCTAAGAATAATAACTTTAGGTCATTCTCAAAGAGAAATTACACGACAGAATTACAGCTACTAAAAAAATTACTCAGCACACATACTGAGACATATAATGGATCATTTAAAAAATTGTGTTTCACCATGCACTTAATATCTTCTTGTATCAGGTTTCTTAATAGCCTTGCATTTCGTATTAAATAAAACTAGAAAGAAAATATGGAGTAGAATGAAATAAGGGTAGTCATATATTTCTTACCTCCTGTTTTGAGAGCTGCTGCCAACATTTCTCTGCATTTCATCCGTACAGAATCAGATGTGCTTGGAGCCCGAGGAAAAGAAGAGATATATGTTTCTGATGAAAGGTTACTGTCCTCTTTCTTGCTGTTTGAATTGCTACTGGAACTGCTAAATAGGCAAACCAACAAATATTTTTGTTCTGTTTCATTACAAATCAGCAGCATCCACAAAGGGTGGATCAAAAAGGACAAGAGGGACCTCTTTATCACCCACCCAGACACTGCTCTTACTGATCAAATGACCCTTTTAAAAATCTAAGAAGTCTACCCTAGACACAAAAACAAACAAGCACACAAAAATTTCATTAAAAATAGTAGTAACAAGTAGCCCTTGAGACCGTTAACTAGAACATATTACTTCCTCAATTCCTACCAATCTTGTTAAGTGTCATGGAACATTAATTCATAATACTAACTGAAAGAAACGACTACACTGGATGGCTAATGATGGGACTGTGAATCAAATCTTATAAAACTATAACAATATCACTAGACAACACTGTGATTCAGACATATAATACAGGTATCAATATATATTCCAAATCAACTTTTCCCATCATAGTTCCCTAACAATGAACAAATCCTACAGTATTAAATGTATTTCCATATGTATAATGCAATTCTCATAAATGCAGAAATAAATATTACTTCATTGACAAGAACTAAAGTAATACAGAAATGAAGCCTCTGCTCTGCACATGATTATCACTCACTCAAATCTTCCATTCTAAAGGAAGATTTTATCTAACCAAGTGTTAAATGTACCCATACAGTGTGTAAGAAAGACTATTTTGTAATAACCCTTTTCCAGATAGTCTTTCATCAGGTCCTTTAATACAGTATTACCCTTGAGTTTGTATTTTTCCTACTACTTTCTTCATCCTAATGTTTACACACTTAAAGAATTAACATTAGTTGTCTTCTACCACTTAAGCTAAAAGGTTAGAAGAAGTACCTTTCTTCCCTTGCTTCAGGACTATTTTGTGAAGATGATGCTGATTCTTTTTTCTTCTCTTCAGATTCTTTATCATTTGATGGTCCATCTAAAATGCATATATAATACATAGAAAGCAATAATAATAGTTCAATAGTTCAATTGATGAAATAAGGGAATGTCAATCCAAGGTAAGTAGAGGAAGATTAGGGAGTGCCTGACAACCATGAATAAATTTAAGTCTTCAGGGCCAGACCAATTACATCTGAGAGTCTTGGAAGAGCTTATAGATATCATCTTGAAACTTTCCTCTGATCACTGAGAAATTATGGAAGATGGGCATGCTGCCAGAATAATGGGGAAGGGCATATGTTCTTATTTGAAAAAATGATGAAAAAGGCCACCCAGGTAACTTCAGACCAGCCATTTTCATGCTGATACTGGACAAAATTATGGAACAGATTATTAAGCATTTAAGTGAGGTAGAAATACTGGATTTTAACTTTGAAAAGCATTTGGCAAAGACTTGCATGAAATTCTAGCAGAGAAAGTTGCAAAATATGGGCTGGTATATGCTATAATTAAATGGCTACATAGCAGATTGAACAAATAACCCCAGTGAGTGTCATCAATGGTTTCATGCCAAGCTGGAGAGAGGTATCACATGATGTGTTTCAGGGCTCCATTCTAGACCCTGTACTGATCAATATATGACTTGAATTAGGGATTAGAATATATGACTATCGAATATGCCAACAACACAAATATTAGAAGGGATAACAACTTCTTAGAGTATAATATCAAGATTCAGAAGGATCTTTACAAGCTGTAACAATGGATAGAAACCAATAAGATGAATTTCATTAGGGACAAATTCAAAATCCTATACTTGAGTAGGAAACAAGTTTTTTTAAAAAAACGTGAGTATAGGATGGGCCCCAGGACCAGATCTTAGTATTTTAATGGATCACAAGCTGAATCTGAGTCAATAGAGTGGTGTAGTTGCAAAAAACACGAATGCAATATTTGGCTTCATCAGCAGGAATATGTGTCAAGATCTAAAGAAGTAATTTTTTCTGTCTGATTTATATTGGTCAGACCACATGTAGAATATTGCACCCAGTTCTGGGTACCATATTTTAGGAAAGACATTGACAAAAATCTCCAGAGGAAACCAACCAAGATGATAAGGAGCCAAGTGGGAAAAAGTATGAGGAATGGTTAGAGGCTGTGATATATTTAGATTGCAGAAGAGAAGATTGCAGAGATATGAAACTTCTCTTCAAGCACCTAAAGGGCTTTCACACAGCAGATGGGACAGGATTGTTCAGAGTTATTCCAGAACAAAAACTAGAAATAATGGGTCTAAATGACAAAGAAGTAGAATTCAGCTGGACATCACGAAAAAACCTTAACAGTAAGGTAAGAACTATTCATCTACAGGTAGTCCCCAGTTTAAAACGAGTTCTGTTCCCAAGGTCTGTCCTTAAGCCGAATTTGTATGTAAGCCAGAACAGTATTATTGTATAATACTGTGTAAGTAGTACTGTGTAATTAACTCGAACCATTGTGTAATTAACTCGAATCGTTGTGTATTTAACTCAAATTTTGCTACAATAGGCTTAGTTCTTAAATATGGGTCATCTGTAACCCAGGTGTTCTTAACCCAGGGACTACCTGGGTTAGGTATGGAAAAAACTGCCCTGGGAGATGGTGGATTCTACTTCTTTGGAGATGTTTAAACAGAGGGTGGATGGCTATCGGTTGGGATGCTCTTCTAGTGTACTCTTGCCCTGGGGGCAGAGATAGGACTAGATGATTTCTAAGATATCTTCCAAAACTTACTTTATATGGTTCTATTATTTATTTTGCATACTGCATGCATTTAAAGCACTTCGTATATCTTACCACAGTAACTGGTATGCAGGGATGAGAAATCTGTATTTCTCCAAATGTTCCTGAACTACAATTCACAGCATTTCTCATCATTGGTCATACAGGATTGGTTGAGAATTATAGTTTAGCAGACCTGAAGTACAGGTTTTTCATCTCTCCCAAGATTGTGAAATAGTGACTGCTTAAATGTCACTTAACACAATGTAGCTCAGATAATATAACCAGAAACACCCTAGTTCTTAATGATGCTTTAATTCACATCACACAATATGGGCCAGCAAACCCAGTTTAAATGTGAAAGGCAGTTATAACCAATCCCGATTCTTCAAAAACCTTCCTGAATACACATAATTCTTATTTTTCAATGAACAGTTTTATCTAGTTAATTCACAAATAAAAAAATGATTAATCCCTACATTAAAATAATTATACTCAAATGAAAAGACAACAAAAATAAGAATCAGTAACTGCCTTATTACATGCATTATTTACTTTAAGGAGAGTGTGTGTCCTATAGATTCTACATCTATACTGATATAGAAATAGCAGAGTCACATTTTACTGTGTTAAATTACCTGACAAATTTAGAAAACATCATGAAGGTTAAGAACATTTCAATCACATTTCGTTATTTATTACCAACTAATTCTACTTCAGTATAACAGTTATTTTTGGAAGGCTCTGAAAGAACAGTGTTTTAACCATCTTCCTGAATATTAATTGGGAGGGAACCATCCTGTAGGGAATAAGTAAGATGACTTTGATGGAGATACACAGGAACTTAAAAAGGGGCTTAAGCTTTTCTTAAGTCCAGAATGAGATAACATTCAGAAATGGCTCAGGGAAACACCTTCCTAATTGTAATGGCAGAAGGAATGATCTTGAGGGACAGGGGGAAGAACCATTACCAAGACAACAGTCAGATAAAAGAAATCTGAGTCCAGGCCAGAACTGTAACCTGATTAAGAGTCTCAGAGAAGATCCTTCCTAGTTGTCACGAAGATAAAGGGTGGGGGGAGCACATTCAGGCGTACAAGATTCTGTTACTATAACCTTATAATAAAAGTAGTATTGGCCTGCATGACTTTGATTTCCTAGTCTGGTCTACCTTGAAGGGCTGATTTAATTCACTGAAGTATAAGAAGAAGGAGGTGGTACAGCACAATCAGACTTGTAAGGTTCTGTTATCTCAATAAAAGTAGTTTCAGCCTTCCTGTGGAATTGATTTCCTGGTCTGGTCTACCTAGACATTATGGCACGCAGCAAATTAGTTATTTGTAAATCCACCTGCTGTTGGTGTTGCAACAATACTGCAGCAAGGTGTTCAGAAGACAATGGCATGTCCTGAAGATTGGAGGCCATCTCCACTAACAAAGGGAACCTTCAGCTTTTCTTGAAAGAAGGAGATAGTTCTTACCCCATTATTTAGTTTCATTCATATTCTATGTTCACTAGTGTGAGAGGAAATTTATTAGTAGCCTTCTATATGTTTTAATGTTAGTTTTGATTGCATT